CCATCATGGTCATGTCAACACGACTTACCACCATGAATAGTCAATATAGGTATCATATGAAAGGTTTTGGAACGGGGATGAACATGGACACCATCTCGGTCCATCATAGTCATGTCAACACGACTTAACACCGTGAATAGTCAATATGGGTGTCATATGAAAGGTTTTGGAACAGAGATGAACATGGACACCATCTCGGTCCAGCATGGTCATGTTAACACGACTTAACACCGTGAATAGTCAATATAGGTAAGGGAGATGGTCTAGTTATGAGACAGCGCCAGTTATGAGACAGTCAATTATTTCTGTCATACGCTATGGAAGTGTTGGTATGAGAACTGTCAATGTTCTTTATTCGATGTCCGCCAGTTTTTAGGCTAACACCGAAGTAAATAGACGCATTGCTTGTATACGCACCAAACATCGTGTTGAAAATCGTGTGAAAAAATGATTTGGAATATTTTTCATAGTGCCAATTTTTTTGTGAAAATCAAGTTAAAAAGGTGAGTGTAATGCATTAAAATGTTGTATTTTGATTATATTTTGTGATTCTAGTTCGGATTGTTCGATTATGTGTTGTGGAAAATTTTTTGTGAGTAATGTTCAAAATGGCGTCTCGATCCGGTTATGAGACACCGTGTTGCCCAGTTATGAGACACTCTAGATTTTGCACTGAAAGCGTATAGAAACGTCATATTTCGTCATTTTTGTTGTCAAAACGCATTTATATGCAATTACAATTGTATTTTAACTAATATTCTCGGATTTTCAGTCATGTCTCCTCCAAAAAAGCTTCATTGCAACGGGCATTGCTCCATATAATCCGGACATCTTTACTGACGCTGACTTTGTCCAAGCCGTTGAACAAAATGACATAGAAGTGGCTATTGATGCTGATATCACCGAAGACGACCAGCGACGCATCGTTTTCAACGATGCCATTGATCCTGTTGGTCGTGAAGAAGAGGTGTTAACATCTGAGCCCTCTGAACTATCCAGCTCGGTGTCACTAATGTCTCTTGCAAGCAACACTTCGTCGGTTTTGGATGCGGTTGGCCCTCTACAAGGCAAAACTCCAAAACCAAAGTCGAATCGTGGACGAAAACCGATGAAAAGTGCTGAATTGACCGTTTTGAAGCAAAAGGCACTTGCGAAAGCGCAAAAAGCAGCAGCGAAAGCGGAAAAAGCAGCAAAGAAAGCAACGTCAAAGAAGCCAACCCCTAAGAAAGCAGCACCGAAGAGAGCAACATCAAAAGCAACACCACCGCCCAAGCGCCGTAGAACTGAAAAATCACCACCGTCCGATGAAGACACGGACTTCTGCATCATTTGTTTGACGCTGTTACCAAACAAATTGACTGCTGAAAATTCCATCCAATGCAACGTATGCACGCGGCCAGTTCACTTGAAATGCGCTGACATGCGTGCAAGCTTCTTTACTTGCAAACACTGCGACAGTGACATGGAACAAGAAGAAGACGAGGATTTCGATGATGATGATGAATGAAAATTGTTATTTCCTTGTCATGTAAGGCCATTAAAGGCCCAATTTTCTTTATTTTAGCCATTGAAGGTCTTTATAATAAATAAAGAATAATATTTGAACATTTTATGATGAGTTTCCTTCATATTTATCCACTTGTATTCAATTTTTCTGGGTGTCTCATAACTGGACCAAAATTTTTTTGGGGCCAAAAAAATAGTCCTCACAAAATTGGTCAAATTTTTTTTCGAGTAACTGGAATCATTAAACTTTCATCGGAAAAAAGTTGCGTCTGGACATAAGCTACATGATAGAACTCTAACTTTACATTTTTGAAAGCCACAGAATTTTTTTTAAATCTAAAACAAAACCCGTCTCATAACTAGACCATCTCCCTTATCATATGAAAGGTTTTGGAACGGGGATGAACATGGACACCATCTCGGTCCATCATAGTCATGTCAACACGACTTAACACCGTGAATAGTCAATATGGGTGTCATATGAAAGGTTTTGGAACGGGGATGAACATGGACACCATCTCGGTCCATC